AATCAAGAGAGGCTACCTACACAGAGCTATCAGTGCAGGTATAATGTACATACTACTGGCTAGGCAAGTATTTTATAGTCAATATACCTTCCTTCTTCAGCTGTCTGGATGCAATATACATCTCCTCTTCTGTTTGTCCTAATACAGCTGAGGTTTCTTGAGGCTGCTCTTCCTATGCTGCCTTCTCCTATTTCTTCCCTCGCTTCCTTTCTTTGGTTTGTTGTGCACACAGGGAATATGCACGTTCTCCCAGGTTTGCTTCGTCATTATTTTTTACAAATCCATAAGGAATGGATTTCTCTTCAAAACAAGAACTAGTATTAAGTAGTTGTAGAGTTTAGAAAAAGGGGGCAAACCAGTTGCTAGTTTTGCTGTAGTAGGAACGGGAGTAAAGCATCGTAACACCTAGCTAGAATATATATAAAGAATAATGAGTTACATAATAACATATAACAGGCATCACCTTCCTCCTACAGTAGTTTAATGCTGCTAAGATTCTGCCAAATTTAGTGCAGTTTTTATGTGTATCCTGCATCCCATTCATAAAACCGAAATGAAGTCTCGTAACTCAAAGAAAAAAAAAAAAAAAGGACAGCAGCAAAAACCCCCTAAGAACCCCTGAAGACAGACACTGATGAAGACAAAGGTTCTTGAGGAATCTTAGAGAAAATAAGACTGCAGGAGGCCCTCAAGATTATCTGGTACCTACTTTGGCATGTCTTTCTTGGAGTATAGTTCACATGGACTAACAAAGATGTCTTCTTCAGATAATGCAAAAATCTAAGTCACCTATCAAAAACATTGCTTTCATCAGAAAACTATTAGTAAGAATGACACTAAGTATGGTGAAAAATATCCAGTCTGAATAATACAAGTAAAATGTAGACATACAATGATGTGGCGTTGGCGTTAACATTATTTCTGACTTCCAGATAAGTCACCAAGGGATTGTGTAATGCTGGTGAAAGTTATCCACTGATCTTAATAACAGATTACAGGAATCTATAATCAGTGAGAGTGCTGTTAATAAATAGTGGAGTAAATTCTTAATAATTTATTACAGAAAACTGTTACCACTGGGGTTATTCCTACAATTTTTTTTGCCCTTGTTAGGTAACTCTGCATCCAGAGATAATCTAGCACGTTTGAGGATCTTGCTATCATCTTTACCTACCCAAGACTGCAATTTCCAAATATCTGGAGGAAGACAACATGCTAAGGTTGCAGGAAGTGTGGTAAGTCCACTTGATGGTAGGGAAACTGATAATGGCATTGAAGGATTAATATGTTACTGGTACTCTGCAAATGGGACTTACTAAAGAAAAGGCCAACAATAGTCCCAACATAGTCCAGAATACACATTGGAGAGTGGAGACTGTTCTTGAGCTGTTCCACAGTGAAGAGAGCTGCCATATGACCAGACAAATAGAAAGACATTGTTTCCTATAATTAGCTGTATTTTTTTTAAAGCATCAATATTCGGTACTTTTCCTGTCCTTGTATCTCTGCATCTGCTACAACCCTACCCACAGCGCCTCATTCTTCTTGTCACCTCCTCTACTTATTTTATACCTTCCTGCACAAAACAGGGCGAGAGACACATTTAGGTCAGCTAGGTACTGCTCTCTACTGCACTGACAACAGTACTCACACTGCCCAAGACCGTACGGCAGGATTACTCACTTAACACAAGCCTGATCAGTGATCATGCTCGTTCTTGCAGGTACTAGTGTCACTGGTGATATAGCAGTGGACTTCACCAAAGGAGGAGTTCTGGACAAAAGAGAAGAGTGTCTCTAAACTCCAACACCCCTCTTCTCGGGGCCCACTGACTCTAAGGACTTCACACACATGGCAGCTCTGCTCTAATACTTCACTGGAAAAGGCACTGTCCCCTTCTAGGGATTGAATTTTGATTTGCATTGATTTGTTGATGTCATGCAACTACTAGATTTAAAAAAAAAAAAACAAACACAAAAGATTAAGGGAAGACAAAAAAAATATCATTGCAGGACTACAGCGGTAAAATTCAAGTTAATCACAGAAGATAAAGATGGAGGAAAATATCAAATTCCCACCACTAATAGGCCTTGAACAAGCTATTTACAGTTTATCAGAAGAGCTACACTAAAGCAGTGAGAACACTTGTATTTACAAATATGTTTCTCACTGGTGCGGAGCTCCTGAGCTACTATAACTTAAAATGGAATGGAAATAGACAAATGTGATCTTAGACTCCTACTTCCTTCACATGGCTGAAACCAGGAGGTTTTAATAGACTTTTCCTTCAGAAACCAGACTGTAAAGAGGACTACGTTATCCTGCCTGCAGAACTCCCAATATTTTGAGCATGGCATGAATTCCAGCCCTTTCCTTGCACACAGATTTATTTTCTTTTAATGGGCCTCAGAGAAGCAGATGGATATGATTTAAGACACTAAACCTCCAATCCTAGGATTTGACAGCTGTCAGAGAAGCTTGCATCTCCTCCAGATTACCTTTCGCTCGTCTACACACTGTCCAGCCCACAACATCAAATATGCCTGCACAGACCACAGACTCAAAGTTCACAAGAAGAGCATTTGTGGTATCCTCTTACATATTCCTGGACACTGCAGAGCTCTCCAGTATCCCTGGCAAGCTATCAGATACTGCCCCACACACCCTTTTACATCATTGCCAGAGCACTGCAAGGAAGGAGGCAAGAAGCATTCTAGATACCTTCCAACATGGGGAAGAAGCCCCCTGGCCCCAGCCCACCTAGGAATAGGCATATTTTTAGCATCAGAGGTGCTTTTTGGAACCACTTAAGTGCTTGGGAGTCTAGGAAGAGAAGGCCTTCTGGCATCCACTCTCATTTATCTAGAAAGGGAGAGAGAGGTAACCCAAAAATAGGAAGTATATTGATATAGAGGAGAACAGGAAACCATCACTTCCTCCAGTCCCCTTGCAGTTCACAAGTATTTCAGGACTTTATCCTCAAGTTCAGATGGGACTCAACAAACATATTAGAGCACACCAACACGAAATGATGTAGCTCATCTTAGGTCTGCTGGAAACTGCTCCTGAGCCTGCCAGCTACAAAGAGCAACATCATATACAAACTCCCTTCCAACAGGCGAAAATCCTACCTAAGCCCTCAAATAAGAGATTCCTCCTACCTGGTCTAAGTTCCAGAAGTGGCAGGCTTAGCTATGATTTCTTTTTCAAGAGTTTCCAAAGACAGAAATGTAAGGAGATGCCTAGATGCAGGGAAAGGGGAAGACAGAAGGAGAAAGTCAGAAGGAGCCAGGGAAGACACACACATTAGACTAACTGAACTCCAGTTCAGGTATCAAAGTCTAAGCACTGGTGTTCTTTTATAAAGGATTGAAACTCAGCAAAGATTCACTTCTAACAAAAAGGAAATGTTTTAATATTGAACATCTTAAAAAACACAAAAATACAAACTTTAACAATTGCTTTGAAGAGGGGATCCTGCTTCTAAGCAAAATGAAATTAAACATCCAAGAAATTATGAACAGTACCCCAGAGTTTCCATAGAATGTCAGCAACTCTCATTGGAGCTCTGAAGTCTAGAGCCACATGACTCTGATATGCTCAACTGATGGAAAATAAATCCCAAACACTTCAGTAAAGTTCACACTGAAGGAATGCCCTCTAAAGCCTCTCAGTTTGGCTTAAATGAGTATCCTACTGAGTTAAGACTAATATAAAATGCTACATAATAAGAACCAGTGCATGACTTTCACAGTCTGTATTCACATACACAGAGAGTCATACCTGATCACACCGAGTTTTATCTTTGAACCAGAATCTGACATCATTGCACTGTCACCAACAAGGCAACTTGCTAAAAGCAGCAGTGTTTCCCATTCTTAAAATCAAAACTATATTTATTAATTACTAACAGCACACTCTTAACAAGGCATCATAAAAAAACCCCACAAAACCAACAACCCATAAACAGAATGTCAGTTCAAGAGAAAGATTGTTTGGCATAGGCGCAAGCCCCGAAGTTTCTTTATCCCAGCAGCTCTTCAAGGTAAATCATATTTAGCTTTTTTGCACTGTTGAAGCTCAAAGGCTCTGACACCGCTACTAGCCTGTGTCACTGACAGAAACAAGGAGGTAGAAAAGACTAACACATCTTAAAACTCTGCACTTACTAGCCTTAAAAGACCCCACGTCAGAGCTCTGCAGGGCCGGGCTGGGGGGGAGGGGCAGAAATCATCATCCTCGCAGAGTTCACAAGATGGTGCACCTCAGCTTCTCAGTGTTCCTCCCCAAACGGTAGTTATTTACCCCTGTCCTACCCGCAATAAATTAATACATAACAGTCAACAACATGCAATAATCCAAATAGGATGACACAATATCCAAAAACACACCTCAAGCAAGTTCACCTTTGAACAAAAGAACAAGTATCCTATAAACCAGTTTGGCTTTTCCTCATAAACTCTTAGTAAGCAAGGCAGACCTGAAGAGGGGCGGGGGGGGGGGGGCGGGGCACG